CTCCAGATTGAAGATCCGTCCCCCTTAAATACTCGTTTAAGAGGAATGTTCATCTCAACATGACCAGTTTGCTCCCTGGGTGATAAATATGTAGAATCCGAACTTGGTGTCATGATAGGCCGTGTTCTACGCCTTGTCGTGCTGGTTACAGGCTGTCTGGTGCGTTCCGTTGTATGTCCTCTGCTATAGCACATTTTCCATAGAATACTAATCACTAGTGCGGTCAGGAAAATGAAAATCACTATGAATTGAAATTCCCGCGTAAACTCTATCACTAGATTTTTAGGAATTAATTGATAAATTCCCATTATCACTGATATGCACAACACGATCACTAAAATCCAGTATTTTAGAAAGCCTCCCCATCCTACATTTTGTTCATTTTGATCTGCGATTTCCAGCCCTACTTCAGACTGAATAGGTGTCTCCAAATCGAATTCAACTTCCGGACTTCTTTGCATTGTAGCATCGGCATCATCAAATTCTGTTAGTAAATTTCGGCGCACTGCGGGAGTTCTCGGCGCTCTTGGTGTCTCGGGAGTTCTCACAGTTTCCATTTTTAATTCCTTATGTCCAGGTTGATTCCAGATTAATGTTATAGCAATCAACACATGAGTCACATACACAAAAGTAACAAATAAATCCAGTTTGGCGAAATATTCACATTATTCACATCACATTTCATTACGCATGAATTTTAATGCGGCACCCACATGCCGGACATCGGTAAAAATGTCGCACAATTCCTTCACTTCCAATTTGCAAACTGTGACGATTTTCTGTTTTTATAAACATGTTGTAGCAATTCGGACACTCCTTTCTGAAATCAAACGGCTCAATCCTAACAAGAACTTTATTCCCAAAATCATCATAGTCGTAGATGTACGCCTGTCTCTGGTTCGGATGATTTCTTGGAAATTCCATAATTCACAATTATTTCACAGATATATGAATATTCCTCCACAAATATTAAAATCACACATGTATAACTAGAATTTCACCGGAATAATAAAATCCAACCGGAATGATAACATTTCACCGGAGTTATTAAATCCCACCAGAATAAAAATATCCAATCGGAATTGAAATATCCCAGCGCTGGCCACCACTTGTAGCGCCGTCGAGCGGTAAACGGCACACAATATTTTAATCCAGTGGAATTAAGTTAATAATTAATCCATGCTTCCTCAATGAAGTGTTGCTTCAGTGAAAACACCTAGTTATAGTTTTACAATTTATTTACATGATCTCAAATTTTAATAGTCCAACAGAATGCACAAAATAAAATATCCTCGAACAGCACTGACCAAATTCAATAAACTCTATCTCTACATCTGTATCTATTATACTTCTCCTATGCATCTATATATTATATATTCTACACATAAATATATTATATATATATATATATATATATATATATAAAGTAGGTTGCTCACGAAGAGCAACGCTCTTAACTGGGTCAGTTACATAAGTTACACAGCCGCTGCTCACAAGGAGCAACGGGTATCTGTACTATAAATAAACACAATATAACATAGGGCTTTAAGGGAAATAATGACAGACTAATAACAGATAATTAAAATAATATAATATTAAATCACGACTTTACAGGATATTACTGTGGGGCGAAACTGGACCACGATTTCCACAAAATTTCAAGTAACAATTTTGACCCTTGTATAATCAAAGAAGATACTTTTACAATCGCTGAAGTATCATGTATAGGAACCTCTGTATCAAGGTAAATCATAATGTTAATGTCATTTTAAAGTCAATAAATGCTAGATCATTTCATAAAAGTTCACTCGTCACTGCGGGCTCTTAAAGCAATGCCTGGGCGATGAGAAAATTCGGACTACTGCACATTCATGATTTAATGGATAAATAACTTGTTAAAGCTATGAATAGGAGCAAAAGTTCAACTTAAAAACGCCGAAACGTTTTTCATTTACTTTCAGGACTGTTCAGGCTTCTTTTGGTAATGTAACTTACATACGACGCCATGTGACGTCAGAGTCTCCTTATGGCGTGGGCCTCAAATAGCCTCTGACAACGAAAGTCCATCTCCTAGACTGCTCGTTTGACTTTAAGTCCGGGGAACTGCGACTACTGATAGGAGAAGGGGTGAAGGCGAGTAACCTGGCGCCTGGAAACCAGTGCTTTGGGTAGATGGGGCTCGTCAGTCTGGGAGGATAGCTCATCTAAGCATCTAAGAGAAGGAAAACTCTGATTCCAAACCTCCGCTGCCTTGCAGCCATACCCAATCATGGGAAATGATAGGTGAAGGAAACACCAAATGGGAAGACTGTGCTCAATATCCAGGGAAGGAAAGCAGTCTAGGAAGGAAACTCCAAAATCAAACCACCTTTCCTCGAGGTTACTAGAGGTTTGTGTAGGGCCAACAAACCTGCCTATTAAAAGCAAGTTACAGAAGCATCAACGACAAGCCAAAACCAACATAACCTGGGCCATATTGGGCCTACTTCAAAGGGGAACTATGATGCTGTGCAATGAAAGCCGAAAGGAAACTGCAGAGCTGATTCCTTTTCTTGACACCCAGGAAAACCATCAAATGTGCGACTTGGAACATCAAAACAATGTATGAAGCAGGAAGAACAGCACAGGTGGCAAAGGAGACAAAGCACTATAGCATCTGTCTCCTAGGACAGCGCAAGACAAGGTGGCTACAGACAGGACAGCTGAGACTGACCACTGGGGAAACACTGTTCAGGACACACCGAGGAGGTAGCCCACCACACCGAAGATGTAGGTCTGATGCTATTCCTGGATTCACTACGTGCTAGGATGGGAACCTGTCAACTCCCGGATAATATACTGTAACAACCAAGTTTAACACCAAGGAAAGTAAGATCAAGTTAAACGCCATACAATGTTATTCCCCCACAAATGATGCTGATGAGGAAAAGAAAGATGTATTTTACCAGCAACTTCAAGTAGTCTTGGATAAAACAGGCAAGAAAGACATGACAGTACTCATGGGCGACTTCAATGCCAAAATTGGAGGTGGCAACACAGGCTACAATGTAGTCATGGGCACACAAGGCCTGGACTACATGAATGAGAACGATGAGATATTTGCAAACCTATGCTCACTAAACCAGCTGGTAATAAGAGGAAGCATCTTCCCTCATAAAAGAATTCACATGTTACGGAGAACCAGATTGACCATATCTGCATTAACAAGACATTTAGAAGAGCATGGAAAGATGAGAGAGCAGACATTTCATCAGACCACCATCTGCTGATGACGGCATTAAGGCTGCGCCTCAAGAAGTTCAAAAACACGACAAACAGGAGGGCAAGGTACAAAGTGAGTGCCCTCAAAACAAAGGAAGTGAAGACAGCATTCCATCTCAGCTTGTCAAATAGATTCTAGCTACTACAGAACCTGCTAGAAAACAGTGATTCCAAAATCGAGATCAAATTGCAGCACATCAAGGAAATGTGGCAAGATTCATTCGAGGAAGTCCTAGGCAGAAGAAAGACTCGGCACAAGGAGTGGATCTCTGGTGACACCACAAGGAAACTGTAGGAGAGGAAGGAAAAGAAAGCGGTGCACAATACAAGCAGGACAAGATCAGAAAAGACAAATGCTCAAGAGGACTACACAGCCACAGATAAAAAAAATTAGAAAATCAGCGGGACAAGAAAATTTTAAAGAACTGTATATGATCACAAAGAAGCTCTCCAACAATTTCCAGCAAACAGACAAGCCAGTGAAGGACAAGAATGGGAAAACTCTCACAACAACAGAAGAACAATTGAAGAGGTGGGTAAAGCAGGGCCTGATACCAGCAAAAGCAATCAAAGCTGAAACAGAGACAGCCATTAACATCCTTTTTAACCTCTTCAACAAGATACGGGAAGAAGAGAACATTCCAAAAGAATGGAAAGAAGGTATCCTTATTAAGCTGCCAAAAAAGGGAGATTTGAGGGATGCAGTAATTACAGGGGGATCATGCTTCTGTCGGTGCCTAGCAAGGTCCTCAACAGAATAATTCTCGAGAGAATGACAAAAAAAAAGCAGTGGACCCAAAGCTCCATGACCAACAGCCTGGTTTTAGAGCCAACAGATCATGTGCTGACCATGCAGATAGCCAGTCTGTGCATCATTATAGAACAATCACTGGAGTGGAAGTCCCCCTCTATGTCAACTTCATCAACTATGAGAAAGCATTTGGCAGCGTGGACCGAGAGACATTGTCGAAGATACTGAGGCACTATGGAGTACCAGAGAAGCTAGTCTCTTGACTCGAAACACCTACCTAGGCATGATATGCAGGGTTCCCCATGCTGGCCAGATGTCAGATAGTTTTGAGATCAAGACAGGAGTTCGACAAGGATGCTTGCTGTCACCATTTCTTTTTCTCTTGGTCATTGATTGGATCATTAGGACTACCACATCAGGCAGGAACAATGGTATACAGTGGACACTCCTGACGCAACTCGACGATCTTGATTTTGCAGATGACTTGGCTCTCCTTTCACACAACCAAAGCCAGATGCAGGATAAAACAACTCACCTTGCCACAACATCGACATGAACGGGCCTGAAAATCAACTTGAAGAAAGCAGAAAAGATAAACACTTTCCAAACACCAGTCACAGTTGGTGGTGAGCCCATCAAAGAAGTTGAGTCCTTCATCTACCTGCGGAGTGTGGTGGACAGACAGGGTGGCACAGACCGTGACATCAAGTCAAGAATTGGAAAGGCAAGAACTGCATTTACCATGTTAAAGAACATCTGGGCCTCAAAGAACATACGTATTACCACCAAACTGCGGATCCTTAACTCTAATTTAAAGTCCGTCATATTGTATGGTGCAGAGACGTTGAGGATGACTAAAGCTACCCTGCAGATGGGAATGCTAGCCCAATGGTTCAAGCTTTAAACAATTTTGAATTCTCGTCAGTTCTATCCTGAGAAAATGAATCTTAATAAAAAGTCTTAAGCTTAACAAAACTTAGATATACTTTTTCGGTTCATGTTTTCATGTAAAGTGGCCCCAACCTTCTACGGGCCTGAGACATGCAGTATCATGTGTCCAGAAAGGATTGACAGTAAGTGAAATGTTAACAGTCCAGCAGACTTTGATAACAAAGCCTCGCCTTGAGTTTCCAGCACAGGTGGTGAAAATCTTTATCTTTTTCCCCCATTGAAGTCTTCTTTCTTTGTATGTTTTAATAAAAATTTTGATACCTTCATAACTTTCCTGAAGGTGGTTGAGAAACGGAACGATCTTTTTTTCGGGTATTTTGGTTGTTTTCATAACTTCACAGCCTTCGTGCCATCTTTCAAATAACTCTCCCTCTAGTTCACGTTCCAACTTTGTGGCATCGTACTTTGCAACCTAAAAAAAATATATTTAAAATGTTAAATTTATGGAAGTTTAATTAAAAAATATAAGAAAGGAAGAAACCCCATATAAGTATTTATTCAAAAAGAGAAGACCGTTTTACAAGGAAAATCACCTGACCATTTGTAATTATTAGATACTGAAGATTGGCAAATAATCACGATGATTTTAATTTCGCTTTGTTCGCGATTTATCATACTCCTGCGAAATTAAACCCATCGTGAATGTTTTCATTAGTTTTTTTTTTAAACAATTCAATGCTTACACGGAATTTTAAATTAATTTCTTGCATCGTGAAAATAAAACCATCGCAACTGGTTCTTTTTGAGATATCGTGAAATTTTAACACCGTGGAATTAAAACGACTTACAGTATTTACCTGCCAATTATTGCAGCAACTTATATTTCATACATATCTATATTTACAATAAATCCCTTATAATTATATCTTGATATGATACACGACTTTTGGCATATTCCAAAAATTAATTCATTTGAAGTACATAAATACGCTAGCTACTGTCTTACTTTCACTGAATGAAGACCCTTTTTAACTGCTGCATACGCTGAATATTGAGCCTCATTTCCAGCATTGCCAGTGTTCGTGGCGGGTAATTGCACATGAATATCGATTGTCCCAGAAGCCACCTCTGTCATGTTCACGGTTTGAAGTATCAAACAACTTAAACCTGTCTTCTAAACTGAAAAACAAGTCATATCATTATATTTTTCTCACGACTTCGTTCACTCTAAAGGCCCTGTCACACCAACTGCGTTCACACGGAGTCATTACGGCGTTGTTCAATTTTTAAAATCGCCGTGGAATCGCAGGGAAATTGCACAAATTTCTTAATTTTTCACAATATGAAGATGTCACGGCGTCCTTACGGCGACGGACGCGATTCTACGGCGATCTAACGGCGTTCTACTGCGTTCCCACGGAGATCTCTCGGTGATTGACTGCACTTCCGCGGAGTTTTCACGGCACGTTAGGAGTTTTCACCTCGTGTTCACGGCGTTCTCACTGCGCTGGCTGCGTTCACAATGCGTTCTATACTCATTGATGTATATTTAGAAGGAATGTAACACATTTTTGTTTAAAGATTCAAGTTACACGATGAAAAGACTTCTAATCATGCCAAGAAATATTAATAATCAAAAATGTTCTATATTTAATTAATATATTACTAAATTATTAGTAGTTTTATGAATAAACTCCTTTTCTTTCAATTTCATCGGTTCAGTTGTGTTGTTAGATTTTCTTTATTTTATTTTTAATGTAAAAAAAAATAATAAACACACCGAAAAGTTTTCTACAAATTTTAATTGAAACAACAGAACAAGTTCTTGTGTAATTTTCTCTTCCATTTTTTCCAATAAATGCTCCTAGTGCAACAAATACGTTTAAATTATAGCTGATCAAATATGATCCCATTGCTCTTGTTTTGTGAGCTAGCTGACAACGCTCTAACAACGCCGTGAAAGCGCATTATGATCGCCAACGGATGCTGTAGAAACGCCGTGGGAGCGCAATGACCGCAGTGACAACTCCGTGCTGTCGCCGTGTAATCGCAGCCAAAAAATCACAAGACGATAAATCTCATTAGAAGCGCCGTAAAAACGCGATAGAAACATAGTGACATCTCCAAGGACTCCGCGACATCTCCGTGGGGTCTCCGTGGAAGCGCAGTCTACTATCACTGCGTTCGTGCCGCGATCATGTGCGACTTCACGGCGTTTATACGGAGCTCCCACTACGTTGTTGGAGATCTCACCGCGCTGCTACGGCGATCATACTACGTTTTTACTGCGTTCTTATCAGACTGCGATCACACGGCGCGTACTTTGTGCATGCTCAAAGTGATCGCCGTCCCCTGGCGTTCTTGGAGACCCTACGCGACCCTACGGCGTTCAGTGGAGATCTCGCCGCGTTGTCACGGCGCTGTAGGAGACTCTACTGCGATCACCTCGGCGTTTTGCATTTTTTGAGGACGCCGTGCAGTCGCCGTGAGGACGCAGCCCCGGTGTGACAGGGGTTTAACATCCATGGTACCGCATTTAACCTTGTCAATGCCTTAATTTTATCCAGTTCAATTATTTCAAGGCCATACAGCTATTAATATACAAAGTTTTAGAGGGTTTTTTTTGGGTGGAAGCCAGGTACATGGTAAATGCGGTATATTTAAGCTATTCCGGATATTAACCGCACTCAGTGTTGCCTTCAGTCGCTGCGCTTTGTCGTCAAGTCTTCGGTCTTTTGAGCGCTGATAATAAAAGAAAAAAGTTCCTACCATATACTGTATACCGGAATTCAGTTTTCAGAACTTTGGACCCCAATGCCACATGTACTTATGGACAAAAGCGGGTCTTTATAACGAAGCACCCCTTCCCGTATTTTTTTTCATTGATTTTTTTTTTTATTATGTAAAGCCTTTGAATCTAAACTCCTGTCAACCGTTTTCAGTTCAACCAATCGGGAAAGGTAGTGCAAAATGTTATTGTCATAAGTTCCATATAAAAAGAAATAAAGTAAGATGTCTTTGTGAAACGCTGATGCTCCCAAATGGCAGTTATGCTGAAGGTTAAAGTTTCTCAAATGGAAGTCACAAACCAAGGTCAAGGCCAAGAGATAAAAGTGCTGTTTCCCAAAGTAATGTTTGTCTCAGGGAATATAACTGTGAAATTTGAAAGCCTTAGCACTAACCGTTGAAAAGTTACGACGATTGTTTTTGTTTTTTGGAAAAGTAAGTCAAAGGTCAAGGTCAAAATTAACGGTGCCCAAGGGTAGGCCCTGTCACAAAAAATGCATAAAAGTTCTAGCACCAGTTATTAAAAAGTTATGGACAATTTCTTTTTTTTTCAAAAGTGGGTAAAACTCCAAGGTCAAAGGTCATAATTGTTCACAGCCAAGGGAAATTCTTGTCTCAAGGAACACACATATGAGATACGAGAGACCTAGCGCCAACTGTCAAAAAGTTATGGCCGAGGTTAAAGTTTACAAAGGTAGGTCAAACTCAAAGGTCAAGGTCATAGGGTTAAAATTCTGGTATCAAATGAAAGAGTTTTCCACAAAGAATAAAAGTGTGAAATGGCAAAGCCCTATAAAAATCCGTCAAGGTTAACATTTTTTTTAAAGTGGATCAATTTTAAACTCTATCATATTTAAATCAAAAGAAAGTGTTTTCACAAGATATGCAGATGTGAAGTATGAAAGCTCTAGCACCAGCTGTTCAAAGTTTATGCCTAAAGTTAAAGTTTGGTAAAATTTCGCAAAAGTGGGTCAAACTTCCATGTCAAGAGATCAGTCTGTCTGCCTATCTATTTCTCCGTCTATGTAACTATCTGTTAAAAAAAATTAACTTGCCCATAACTTTTCAGTGGATAGGGCTATGGCTTTTATACATATATGTAATAAGTGTATGTTTACCTTGTGATACGACTACCAAATTTGACCTCTCGACCTTGGAAAATGACCAGACAATTACCGGTAAAAAAAATTAAAATGTCATTGAAATAAAAACTCTGAATTATACATATGAAGTCAGATATAAAGACATCTTACCTTTGAGAAAGCTTGCTAGATACTATTTACTTGTATGCTGTGCGATGTTATATTATATTTCCCCGATTATGATAATATTTCCCCTGTATCATCAAGGGTTTTCCCAAGATTCTTCTACTCAATATTTACATGGCAAAGTCTAAATGGGTTGACTGGATAAAAGAAAAAATAAAAACGTTTACTCCGATACTATTATATATTTTAGGGTTAAAATGATCTAATCTGCCAAAGTTTGGGGATTTTACGCTTAGTATTCAAAAATTGATGCTGGAAGAGAAAGGAGGTGGTATAAATTTTTTATCAAGTCCAATCCATGTTTTGGGATGGTAATATCACGAGTTTCAGGTTAAGTTCTCATAAAATACCTCCAGTATTGCTTTCGATTTCGGTTTCGATTTCGCTAAACGCAACTCACCCACCGTAGTACGGTGTCCTGTTATGGCCACTAGCTTTGAACAATAAGGAGTCAGCGAAGGGGTTAACAAGTCAAGGGCGAAGACATAAAAGGGAAAACAACTGTAGAGAGGGGCGGATCTTAGAACTTGAACTCTATTACATACGAGAAATTACTGTCCGATTTGAGGATTGGATAATGATGAAGGATTAACAAAATTAGAATTAAATACTTTTAATTTTATTGTTTTTAATCAATGAAAGGCACAGGCACCTGACGTTACTTATTTTTCTTTTAATAAAAAAATATACCTCCTACCTAATAATAAACAAAGTACCCATCAGCGCTTGGATTTTTAGTACGGTCACATTCACTTGTCCTGTTATGGCCATCCGGCTCGTTTTTGTCTAAAACGGACAGTGGAACCAGAAGGGTGTATCACACTTGAGTCGGCGAAATTTTGCGGAGGAGGAAAATACAAGTGGAAACGATATAGTCAAAGCTGGCGAGGTATATTTTCTTTACATAAAAAGGGAAAACAACAGGTTTTATAGCTGGAAGAGGGGGAGGGGTACAGTTTCTGAGGACAAGCTCTAGGAATTTCATTATACAAAACCAGAAGTGTTCTTTTTGAAATAGAGAGAGAGTTTTGATATTTTTCTTGGTTTGGTTTTAGCCCATCCTTGAAAACCATACTACAAATTTAGTTTATTGTTATAACGAAAGTTTCGATATTTTTCTTTTTAGCCAGTTGAAAAGTAAAGATCGATCTTAAGGTGAGATTAGCCTTAATTATTATTTTTTTGTTTTTCGGGAAGGCTACTTAAGATTATGGATAATACTTAGATCTACCAACAAATAAGCATTCTTCCAGCATTTTTAGGACAGATGATACAAACAAACTTTTGTCAAAATTTTTTTTAAATAATAACTTGAGTTAAGTTTAAATGAGTAAAATGAACAACTTTTACCGCGTACTTTTTAATTTTTCATTCAAATTTTCGCAAAAATGGAATTTTATGTGAAAAATATTTGTATAGATTAATAAGGTTGGTTTCAAAAGGGCGGAATTTAAACATCATAGAAGATTTACAATTTCTTTATATTCTATAAATTTATTATTTGCATCCTTTGCAATGAAATTAGGCCAAAACTATATACCGATCTACACATCTATTTTTTTGTATCATCTGTCCTTAAAGCATTTTTTCCAGCCAGATTAAAATCAGACCTTCCACTAGCTTCTTTGTTCTAATTCAATGGTTGCGACCATAATTTGTACCTTAGTTTTGATCAACAATTCAATTTCATGGAATGACACGGACGCATCTGTTTCATATTTGGATATTTTACTACAAATGTTAACGAAAATTTTACTAGAAATATTTACTAAAACTTTGAGACGTCCCTGGTAACCTAACAAGAAAACATGTTTTTAGAGGTCCATGTTTGCTCTGCTATATTAATGGTATTTCAATAACTTTTGAACCATGAGAGATAAGACTTCATATTTGGTATGCATTTAACTCCACTAACCGGCGACGCGTAAAGCTCTTTCAAGTTGACACCAAGGTCAATGACCTTGTGACCTTGACTGCGACCTATATGCTAAAATTTTTTTTTTTCGTCTTATTTTGATGAAATTTTAACATGAAATACGTCACGGAGCATTTTGTTTTTGCGTCGCTCAGACCTATTATGCTAAAAATAGCTTTTTAAAAAATCTTTTACTGCATAACATTTTAAAAAAGTGTTTTACAAAACAATTGCATTATTTTCTTTTAAATATTTCAATAATTAAGCTGCTTTTGAAGTGACACCAAGATCAATTTCTTGTGACCTTTTTTTTTATTATATATGCTAAAAATTGTTTTTTTTTTTAAACTTTAACCATAACTTTTGCCTGTATGAGAGATAAATACATTCTATAATTTTTTGTGAATTTTACATAAACACCACTAATCAAATCATGTCAATTGAATTTTCAAAGTCAATGACCTTGAGACCTCACGAAAAAACAAATGAGGTATATGCTAAAAAAAACGTTATTCATAAGTGTTTTTATTTACCGACTGTTAACAGATTATTGTGTTGTACATAGTGTTTCATTGATAAATGTAAAACATCAAAAATTTGTATCTACATTAAATACACCTAAAAATTGCTTTAATAAAGTTTTGATTATAATAAAAATTCACCTATATACATAAACTCTGGCGCGGACACATCTGTTTCATATTTTGGATATTTTACTACAAATATATACGAAAATTTTACAGAAATATTTACTAAAATGTTGATGTGGTTGTCCGTGGTAACCGTTTAATCAAAGAAAACGGTTACAATTTCTTTGACCTGGTCCATGTTTGCTCTGCTCAAGATTGGTATTATTTCAGTGGACAACACTTTTGAAAGCAAATTGATTACTGTTCGGAAAAAATTTTAATGAGGAAGTAAAAACTGATAAATCGGCTAAATTTTTAACACGGATAAATCAATTTCATTTAATAGTGATTTGTTTTTTACAGGACACTTGCTCTAAAAGCACGCTATAGGCTATACCACGATTATTGCACTTGTTTTTAACGTTCTTTTATGATACTATAAGTGCAAAAAATTGTAACCGTTTTCTGTTGATTAAACGCGTGTCCACGAATATCACATCAACATTTAGGAAAATTTTATTGCAGAACTGTGGCAATTTTAATTGTAAACTTCATGAATTGTGTTTAAATTATGTCAATTGAATTTTTAGAGAGTTTATGTATATAGGTGTATACTTTTTTTAAAACATTATTTTTCTCGCCTGATCATGTCAGAATCTTTATTAAAGCAATTTTTAGAGTGTATACATTTAGATGAAAAAAATTTTTGAAAAATTATTTTATTTATCAATCCTGTTAACAGATTATTGTGTTATATACTTCTTTCTTTCCAGTCGTATCTCTCAAATATTCTTTATTTAGGTGTACATGTTGACACAGACAAAAATCCGACATTTTTTCACACTGTAACAACAGGTGCGTGTGGGCATTATAGCTCGCGATGTGATTCTACAGCTATGATTGACAATTCATTATCAGCTGTTAAAGTATCTACCAGAGAAGCCAAGGCGCTGCAGGGAACATTGGAACGTGAGTACTTTTCTCACTGGAACGAAAATTGTGAGGTTAAAGAATACCGCGGGTTCTCGCTTTCTCAGACAGACTTACTCGTGAGGCAAATAGGCGACAGTTTCGGCAGCTTACGCACAAACATCTTTCAACAGTTAAATGTAATTCATTTCGCTGAGAAAGTTGGCGTGAACATTTATGAGTTCACTTTTGGTGAAAAACTGAGTTCTGGTGAGGTTTACTTTGGAATGATAGCAATATCAAAGAATGAACACAGAAACGAAATGAACGCCATTTCCTGCTTATACAAACTTAATTTTACCTTGGGGAGAATTAAACACAGGGAGAAGGAAACCGTCCGATTCCTTGGCATTAAAGTCGGTGGGAGTACTGAAACTTGGTATGAAACGAAAAGTCTGGGCTTCGTAACAAAAAATGACTTAGTCAACTTTTGTCGAGTAAAGGCTTTGAATGAATTCAAAAGCAAAAAATTTATTTCAAGGATAAATGATGTTTATTCAATAAAATAGAATACTTAATATCCAGGATCAATTGAGCTGACGATGTATTATTAAAAAATCTGCTAATATAAAATACATTTAAAGAGTTGGTAATTCATCAAATCTGAAACTGATTTGAGGGTATATAAAGATGCTTCAATTTTATATATATATATATTTTGTCGCTATATGTGCAGCCATTGTCCCTTGATACTCTCTGTATTAAAGACCCCGCACAATATATAGTTAGATATTTGTATGCTGCATGCTTTTTTTTTTCTTAATCGTTTTCATTTGAATATGTTTGTTATATTTTTAACGATTCTTTCCTATGTAAATAATTTTATAATATAACTTTATTTTTTCTATGGTCAGCAAATACAATATATGATGGAGTCAAATGCTGACTGACGTTTTTCATACTATAAAGTATTACTGTTAGTCCATTATTGATGCACTGTATTGACGACGGATTTTTCCGTTATTTTTCGATCATGACAAGGCGCACAGCACCGGTGGCAGGGGGATCAATTGGCAGATCACACCTCTGACTAGTCCGTGTTTGCTCTGCTCCTGTTTTTGTATGTTTTATGGATTTTTAAGAAATCATCAAAAAAGTATTGCAATGTAAAATATATATAAATAGATATTACATGGTCATATTAAAGGCGGGATCGGCTATACTTGAAGAACTACTAAATCTGCATATAATAACTGATTATATTGAAAAATTTAAATTGTATATATATAAATGACAAAGGAAATAAAGAACTGAAATTGAACATGAAACAATGGTTTATAAAGCGTAAACTGCCCCAAGTTATGTCGACCCCTCGAATAAATTTAAACGTTGCTTTCATTCTAACGACCTCGGGAAAACGTTATTCAACATGCATATAACTAGATACTGTCTAGCTGTCTGTACGTCCATCTACTTTGTTTTTTTCTATTGCCTGATACAACACCTTGGGCAAATGACACTCCCATTATAAAAAATCTCTCTTGCTCAAAATACACACGATACAGCAAGTGGAAAAAGTTCTCTTTCCACACGCAAAATCCGACACATTTTCGCCCAGTTGGAGTGTAAGATGAAGGTCATATTTAAAACTAGGTGTTTAAAAAGTACATGTCTATAATTGACGTTTTTAAAAATTTTTGTTGTATAAAACCTATTATATTTATTATTATCACTTTAAATTGATACGTAT